TATCTTTTTTTTTGAAAAATAATCAAATATAAAAATGTATCAATATTTTTTTATATTTTTTTAAAAAAATATTAAACCAAATTAATAATTGTTTAGTTTTCTTTTTTAGACAAGTCAGGTCAGGTCAGGTCAAATGTATATTTAATTCAGGTCAATTTTATGTCTGACCCAACCTGACCTTATCAGGTTGGGTCAAGTCAATTATCTGACCCGACCCGACCTATGTGAAGCTCTAATGCAAATATATAAATTTTTAAAAATTATTATAATAAATTTTTTGAAACTTAATTTTAAATTAAATTATTTTAAAAACCTTTTAAAAAACTTAAAACCTTTGTTAATAAAGTTGATAAAAATATATATTAAACTATATTTTTTATATAGTAATAATATTACTAAATTTAATATTTAAATTTTTATAAAGAAATTAATATTTTTTTTTAATTTTCAGACAAATTTACTTGTTATCTAAAAGATAAGAATAAATTTATTATAAATTTTAGGTTTGTTATAAAAATTTCAAAATACATTTAATTTATTATCTATAATAACTATTATAAATTCAACAAAGAATAAATTAATATAATAACTTAGATAATTTTAAAATAAAATAATTAAAAATACTAAATATCTTTTATAATAAAATAATTTTATATATATTATTAAAGTATTTTTTTTAAGAAACTTTTGAAATATTTTAACAATAACTTAATTATAACTAATTTATTTTTATATATTACTAAAGTGTAAAATAAAATATGATAAATATTTATTATTAGAAAATTATTATAAGAGATCTTATTCTTTTAATAGTTTTTCTTTCAAATTTAGAAGAAATTTTGCTTACTAATTAAAGTTAATTTTAGGTACATTAAAAATTGGTTATTAAATAAATAATATTTTTATAATGCTTTTTAAGTAAAATCAAAAAAAAAATTATATTAATTAGTAACTTTTTGTATTAATTTAAGATCAAAGTTTTGAATATTTTTTAATAAAAGTTATTTTCTTTATTAAAGCTAAAATTTTTAATTTTTGATTATTTTTATATTATTAAAAAAAACTTTGCAAAATATATAAATTTATATTTAAAACATTTATTTATATATTTAAATATTATTTATTTATAAAAAAATTATGAATTTAAAGTTGATATATTTAATATTTTAATTATTAAAAATGAAATATTATTTTAAAAATAATAGATTTATTATAAATTTTATAATGTATTTTAACTAAAAATTAAAAAAATTTGTAAGTTTTTATATAGAATTTTGCATAATAATTGATTGAAAATCATAATTAAATTTGAATAAAAATTATTACTATTTAAAGGATAATAGAAATGTAAAATATTAATTTATAAAATTCATATTATATGATGTAATAAATAATATCTAGAAATTAAAAGCAAATATAATAATTAGCAAAAAATAATTAAAGCGATATTAATTGTTGCATAATTTTAATATAGTAATTGTATAATAAAGTAATATAATAATAATTATGCAATAATTAAATAATTTTAAATTGATCCAAAATAATTATAAATAGGACAGTAAGTTTATTTGATAGTAAAAGGATTTAAGAATACAGTAAACTCTTGATATAACGAATTCTAGGATCTGGATATCAACTTCGTTATAAGCTTATAATGAATTTTTTAAAGAATTTAATTGGCTAGTTCACTATAGTAAAGGTAATTTTAATATATTTGATTTAAAAATTCGCTATATCAAGAGTTCGCTATATCAAGGTTTGACTGTATAACGAATACAACACAAAATAGATTGCTTTAATAATTGTATAATTGAATAGTTCATTTAATAAAATACATTTCTTTTTATATTAATAAAGTTATTTTTTCACTTATTTTTCTATGTATTTTGTATAATTCCTTATATATTTTATTGATTTATTTAAATCCTTATATTTAAATAAATTATTATAAAATTTAATTTAAAAATTTATTATTTTTAATGTTAAATAGATTAAGATATTTTAATTATTTAAAATTTAGAAAGTAATGAACTTGAATAATAATATGTAACATCAAAAAAGAAAGATGCAACCATTTTGTTAAAGCAGAAGAGTTTGTTAATTTACTATATTAGATAAAAAAATCAATATGAATAACTAGTAACTTTCTATACTCTTCTTTTTCTTTGATTACTTTTTTCTTTTTTACTTTTTCTTTTATTTATTGATTTTAAAGAAATTTAATTAGTATTATATAATATTAAAGCATTTATAATTTATTATTAATTTTAAGCTTAAAAATTTTTAGCTCAATTGATTAAAAAGAAAATTTAAATATAATTAGTAAACCAAAAATAAACTTCATCAAAATAAGATTAGCATGTATCCTATTGTTGTATAATATGCCCCATAAAATGTGTGCGATTGTGATAATTAAAAGTGCATACAATATATAAAAATGGAAATATGTTTCATCTTAAATAGTATTATTATTGGTTGCATAATACTTATAATATTATGATATATATTGTAAAACGCAAGTAGTCCGAAAAGGAAATTTTGATCATTTGCGGTTTTTTTAAAAAATCCAGATATTTGGAAGATTAACCGATTGTCTGTTACAATTTTAAGGCTTTTGAATAAGGCTTGGTCGAATAAAAAAAAAATGTGTCACAATTTCGGCGGCTGGACTAAAATGCACTTCACAAGTCTCAATTTGGCGGGAAACGTATAATTGGTGACATCATCGAATTTTGCACAACAAAGTTATCCAGTTTTGCTTTTGCCTCTGTTAATATCGAAATGTCTGGTTTTTCACATAATAACTCACTTCCGCGACCTTCACCACCAAATCTCATCGACCCTTTCGACGACCTACAAACCGTCGAAATTCAACAAACTTCTACTAATCAGCCTGTCCCGCTGCAGAGTCTGCAGACAGCTGTTACACCACCATCTTTTAGACCTGCCTATATTCAGCCAGGAAGCCAGAATAGAAGGTCTCTAACTTATTCTCAGCTGAACCCTTATTACAACGATTCTATTGAAGACGAAGACGAGGAGCAGGAAACGTTTTATTCGGATTCCACTGGGCTCATGCGACAGATTTCTAATATGTCTAATTATTCTGAGGCCAACCTACCTTTAACATCAAACGCTGCTCTTAGTACCTCCCCTACATCACCAGATATTTTTAAGAATATAAAGTCTGAAGCTATCTCTTCTGGGGGAGGAGGAGGAGGCTCAAATAATAATGATGAAGTAGGCCGTACAATACACATCAACGATACTACACGTAACGCACAGCAAAAATTCCTACATAATAGAATTTCTACCGCAAAATATAATTTTGCCACTTTCCTACCAAAATTTTTATATGAGCAATTTTCGAAATATGCCAATTTGTTCTTTTTATTTACAGGTGTGTATCTCAATTTAATTTTAAATAAATTTTAAATTTTGTTTTTTATTTATTTATTTCAATAAATTAATTAATATTTACATATTTCAGCTTGTATACAGGTAGAGTCAATTTATTTTGATACGAATATATTCTTTAGCAAAGCTATACAGATTATTTATTAATTAATTTAAAATAAATTCAAAAGTTTACGTATATATAATTTATTCAATGTTACCATATATAATTTTTTCTGGATTTATCAAAAAAAAATTTAATTTATTTGTGATGATATTTGAATAAGGAAAATCAGCAATTTAAAATTTAATTGTATGCGTATTCTAAAAAATGTTTTCATATTTTATATTATAGCAAATTAAAGATGTATCTCCAACAAACCAATTTACGACGCTTGGTACTTTGATTGTCGTTTTGACAGCTACTGCATTCAAGGAAGTTATGGAAGATTATGTAAGTTATGGGAAATATTTGTAAATCAATTATGTCCCATAGTTTTATTATTTCAATTGTATTTTTCGTGAAAAAAAAGAACTTGTGCCGATTTTTTATTTTATTTGCATTTGTTAAGAAACGGCATCGTTCTGACGCAGAGGTCAACCAACGTCCTTGTAATTCCTTAAAAGGATCCTCATTTTCTGTAAAAGAGTGGAATGAAGTAAAAGTTGGAGACATTGTTCGTATAGAAGGGGGAGAATTTTTCCCCGCTGATTTAATTTTGCTCAGTAGTTCTGAACCCGAAGGATTATGTTACATAGAAACAAGCAATTTGGACGGGTTAGTTTAACCTACTATATATTTATCATTCAAGGTGCAAACGTAATCCATCTTGATAAGACATCTTCATAGTATCTTTGTTCCACAGCCTTTTTTATTAAAAAAAAAATTGTGGCAACTATGATATGATATTTCTTAAATTCTTTATAGAAATGACTTATTAATATGTTCTTATAACATTTTCCTAATATTTTTTTTTTTTTTTTGTTTAGCGAAACCAATTTGAAAATTAAACAAGGATCTAGCGACACATCAAATATGATTTCTCCTTCAGAAATAAGCCGTTTAAGCGGTAAGATATCTATTCGAATTTTTTGAACAATATAAACGTTTAACTGATATCAGTCAACAATTTCGAATTATAATCAATAGGTTATATTAAATCCGAAAATCCAAATAATAGTTTATATACATATGATGGTTATCTCGTGATGAATGGACCAAATGGTCAAAAGAAAGTTCCTTTAGATCCTACACAGTTATTACTTAGGGTTGGTTTATTTGACAATTGTGTCATATATTATATATTTGATATATTGTTTTTAAAAAAAATAATTCTTTGATCATAGGGAGCACAATTAAGGAATACACAATGGATTTATGGCATTGTTATTTTTACTGGTCATGAAACTAAATTGATGAGAAATGCTAGGTACAAAATTTTTGAATGTATTTCTTTTAATCTAATTTTTTATTAATGATGGATTACCTCATAATTCAGTGCAACTCCCATTAAGAGAACTAGTGTCGAGAAAATGGTTAATATTCAAATTATTTTCTTATTTGGTATATTGTTAACAATGAGCTTGGCATGTTCTGTTGGAAACCTCATAAGATCTGTAAGTACTTGTTAATTTTTATAAATGTTCTTACTTAGAATTCACTAATGGATTTTTCATTTGTTTGATTATTAGGTGAAATACGAAAATGAAATGACATATCTTAGTCTTTTCGGTTCTAATAAGAATCTCTTTAGCCAATTTGGATTCAACATATTAACTTTTTTAATTTTGTTTAATAATTTAATTCCTATAAGGTTTGATATTTGAAATTTTATTTTTGAACGTTTTGATATTTACATTTCAGAGATGAAATTTTAATGCTTTAAAACTTTTTGCAGTTTAATTGTTACTATGGAAGTTGTAAAATTTCAACAAGCAGCATTAATTAATTCAGACTTGGATATGTATTATGAAAAGACCGATACTCCAGCTTTGTGTAGGACTAGTAGTTTAGTCGAAGAATTAGGACAAGTGCGTTGTGTTAAATTTTTTAAAATTTTCTTTAATAGTTTTATTAATCAAAAATATGTAATCTCTAGATCGAATACATATTTTCTGATAAAACTGGCACACTCACATGCAACGAAATGGAATTTAAGCAATGTTCTATTGCCGGTCTAGCGTATGCGGATGTAGTTGAAGAATCCAAACGAGCTCGAGTGACTGATGGTGTAGAATCTGGCGTACATGACTTCAAGAAACTAAAATCGAATTTAAAAAACCATTCAACTGCCAATGTCATTAATGAATTCTTGACCCTTTTGGCGGTGTGTCATACAGTTATTCCTGAAAAAAACGAGAAAGATCCTGATGGTGAAAATTCAATAACATTTATTTAATTGGCTTACAGCAAAACAATTAATTGTATTGACTTGATTTATTTTTTTATTTTTATTTTATTTTATTTTTTAATGAAAGATATAATATATCAGGCTTCTTCACCCGACGAAAGTGCTCTCGTAAAAGGTGCTCAAATCCTTGATTATAAATTCACGGTATTTACAAAGATTATATTTAACTTTTATTTATATATATATATATATATAAAATTAATAATATAATACTAACCACCTTTCTCTAGACGCGTCGTCCAAAGTCAGTTACAATAGCTGTTAATGGGCAAGATCAAGAATTTGAAATCTTAAACATTTGTGAATTTAATAGTACACGCAAGCGTATGTCAACAATTGTCCGCAGTCCTGAAGGAAAGATAAAGTTATATTGTAAAGGAGCTGATACAGTAATTTTAGAACGTTTAAGTGAGAATAATCCTTTTACTGAACTAACCTTACAACATCTTGAAGAATATGCCACCGAAGGTCTTAGAACACTTTGTATATCTATGCGTGAGGTTTCTGAAGAAGAATATAGAGTTTGGGCTGGTGTTTACGAAAAAGCTGCTACAACTTTAACGAACCGTCAAGAAGAGCTTGATAAAGCTGCCGAAATGATTGAAAAGGATCTTTTTCTTTTAGGTGCAACTGCTATTGAGGACAAATTACAAGATGGTGTACCAGAAACAATTCATACCCTTCAACAAGCCGGCATAAAAATTTGGGTTCTTACCGGTGACAGACAAGAGACTGCAATCAATATTGGTCTTAGTTGCAAATTAATTCAAGAGGAAATGACTTTAATTATAATTAATGAGGAAAGTCATTGGGAGACGAAAGAACGTTTGGAAAATAAAGTTCAATCGATGAAAGGTCGTGTCAATCCTGAAGCTGAGGTAAAAAATCTTCATTGAAAGAATTCGAAGTTAATTATACGAGATTAAAAAAAATTTTTTTCCTAATTCTATTTTTATATATATATATATATTTAGCCACTTGCCCTCATTATTGACGGTCGCACACTTGAATTTGCGCTTGAAAAAGACCTTGAGAAAACTTTCCTTAATCTGGCAACTTTATGTAAAGCTGTGATATGTTGTCGTGTTTCACCACTCCAAAAAGCTCTTGTTGTAAAACTTGTGAAGCGTCACTTGAAAACTATTCTTCTAGCAATTGGTGATGGTGCAAATGACGTTTCCATGATTCAAGCAGCTCATGTTGGTGTTGGTATTAGTGGTCTTGAAGGAATGCAAGCAGCTCGTAGTGCCGATGTTGCCATTAGCCAGTTCAAATATCTGAAAAAACTTTTGCTGGTGCATGGAGCTTGGAGTTATCAACGATTGAGCAAACTTATTTTGTATTCTTTCTATAAAAATATAACATTGTATATGACACAATTTTGGGTACGTTAACATTTTAATAATCATGTCTGATATTCAATTGCATTTAACATGACATAAATTTTCGAAAAACGTATGCTTTTCAACAATAGTACACTTTCCGAAATGGTTTCTCTGGCCAAGTTATTTACGAATCCTGGACAATTACGTATTACAATGTACTCTTCACTGTGTTACCGCCAATCGTAATTGGAGTATTTGATCAGTACGTTAGTGCAAGAATGTTGGATCGATATCCACAAATGTACATGCTGGGTCAAAAAAGTGAATTTGTAAGTATAATTAATATTTTTTTTATTTAGACTTCCTTACCAGATCTTTACTAAATACTAAATTATTATCGTAATGATTTAGTTTAATGTCAAAAATTTCTGGGGTTGGACAACAAATGCTTTTTATCATTCATTGGTAAGATATTATTTACATTACTACAATCACATGATATTTATAATATAAACCGTATTAATAATTGCTTTATTTAGATTTTATATTTTGCATCTATATATATTTTCGGTCAAGACCTAATATTGTTAGATGGTAGATTGGCAGGCCATTGGACATGGGGAACTACTTTGTACACGGCAGTTTTAGCAACGGTTTTAGGAAAAGCTGCTTTAATAACAGAGTATGTTATTATCTTAATTTAGAATAAATTTGTTAATATTTGTCAAATATTAATATAACATTTTACACAATTATTACAGTTTATGGACAAAGTACACTTATCTTGCGATTCCGGGATCATTTATTTTCTGGTTGATTTTCATCGTAATATATGGATCAATTGCTCCAAAGATAGGAATTTCGGTAGAATATGAAGGCATTGTTGGAATACTATTTACAAGTCCAGTGTTTTATGCCACTATTCTTCTAATACCAACCATTTGTCTCTTAAGAGATTATGTCTGGAAATAGTAAGTTATTTTAATATAAGATAATTTCAACATCGGGACATCATTAATTAATTTATCTATCTTTTTTTTTAACAAAATAGTATGAAACGTATGTACAATCCACGTACATATCATACTGTACAAGAAATTCAAAAATTCAATATTCCCGATTATCGACCTGGTATGGAACAGTTCAAAAAGGCAATACAAAAAGTACGTGCCGTACAAAGGTTACGAAAAAGTCGAGGTTTTGCCTTTTCTCAAAACGAATCTGGTCAAGAAGCTCAACTCATCAGAATATACGATACCACTTTGGCAAAACCAAAAGGTTAAATTTTTTCTAAACATATTAATATTTATAAAATCAGTTAATATTATGGTTTATGGGGGTTTTATTATAAAAATTATATATATTAATTAGTAGATTTTTTTTTTTTTTTAAAAAAAAAAATTATTTCGGATTTTTGTATAATAATAATACATGCGTTTATGTTTAATTGCGTTACATCATTTCTTATCATCGCCTTGTATTAAATTTCCACTTCTTCACTTACTTTCTTATATATATTATATATATATATTTTTATTTTATTTTATTTATGTAAAGTAGTTTTGGTAAAAATTTGTTTTATTAACTTAATTTATTTATATTATGAAAATAAAAAGTTTTTTTTTAAAAAAAAACCCATTATATTATTCGATCCGCAGTATTAACTATTGATGAAGTGATACAGTGTCAGTCACAATGACGGGCGATGAAGAAAGACGTGTAATTGCTAAGCCAGGAATAAACGTATATTTAAAAGCTATTTTGTTTTAATAATTTTCAAACTCTAATATTTAAAATGGATGAAGACTTGGAATCACTTAAACGAAAAATTAAAGAAAAAGGTGAAACTGTTCGAGCTTTGAAAGCACAAAAGGCTGATAAATCTTTTGTGGATGTAGAAGTTGCTGCTTTATTGAAACTTAAAAATCAATTGACTTGTATTACTGGAGAAGATAGTAGTAGCAAGAGTAAAACTAAAATCACGCTAAAAACACCAAAGGTAACTAACTGTGTTGTTACATTAACAATAGAATTCTTCTTCGGAATTATTATAGGGTCTTTCAAGTTAAACTTTTTTTTTGAAATCTGATATCAGGGAACGCGTGACTATAATGAAAAAGAAATGGCCATTCGTGAACAAGTCTTTTCGACTATAATTTCTGTATTTAAAAGGCATGGTGGTGTCACTATAGATACTCCAGTATTTGAATTGAAAGAAATTCTTGCCGGAAAATATGGAGAAGAAAGCAAACTAATTTATGATCTTGAAGATCAAGGTGGAGAGAAATGTTCATTAAGATATGATCTGACCGTAAGTTCTTCGTAATTTTCTGGATCGCTTCCTCTCATATATAATTACTCACGAAAAATTTTATAATCAGTAATTCATTCGATTTTTAATTGAAGGTGCCATTTGCGAGATTTTTGGCGATGAATGGAAGCCAATATCCAAATATCAAACGGTACCAAATTGCTAAAGTTTATCGAAGGGATCAACCAGCCATGACTAAAGGACGCATGCGAGAATTTCATCAATGCGTAATTATTATTTATTAAATTTAATTTGTTTATTTCCCAATGTTTAAAAAGAATTCCTTTTTTCTTTTTTTGTTTTTATCCCAGGATTTTGATGTTGCTGGCTCTTACGATCCTATGGTACCTGATTCCGAAGTTATCAAAATTATGTCTGAATGTTTGACAGAACTTGAGATTGGTACATTTATCATAAAGGTAAATTACTCATTTATTCGTTTATTTCTTTATTTATGATATATTTTATTAATATTATTTTTTAGATTAACCACCGTAAAATTTTGGATGGAATCTTTGAAGTATGTGGTGTACCAGATGAAAAGATCAGACCTATATCTTCAGCTGTCGATAAATTAGACAAGGTAAGTTAAATACTTTTTTATGTTGTATTTCACTTATCAAATTTACAAATGACTAATATATAATGCATTTATTAGACACCTTGGGAAGATGTCAGAAAGGAAATGACAGAGGAGAAAGGTTTAGATCCTATTGTTGCTGACCAGATAGGAGAATACGTTAAATTTAAAGGTGGATAATTTATTTATTTGTTAAGAAAATTCACCATATCCGTGAATTAAACAAAATAATATTTTTTTAACAGGTGGTAAAGAATTATTGGACAGATTGTTCCAAGATCAGAGATTACTCGCCAATGCAAATGCTAAAGCCGGTTTGAATGATATGATCCTCCTTTTCCAATATCTGGAAGTTTTCGAAGTTCTGGACAAGGTATTGACAAGTTACATATAGCTTGTTCCTTTCACTATTGATTCAAATGTTTTAACAATCTATTGATTTCTCCAAAGATTTCATTTGACCTAAGCCTTGCTAGAGGTTTAGATTATTATACTGGAATTATTTACGAAGCCGTCACTGAACTTTCCGGTCCTCCAAGTAAGACTAATAAAGTTTTTTTTGGTTACATTTTCCAGAATCATCAATTTTATAATTAAAAATAATACATCATCTATTGTGTAGCGCTCGAGGATGGCACAAAAGTTACAAGAAAAATAAAGAAAGACACAAATGAGTTTGATGAAACAACTGTTGGTGTGGGATCCATTGCAGCTGGAGGTCGTTATGATAATCTTGTTGGCATGTTCGCGAATAGTAAAAAAGGCAATATTCCTTGTGTTGGAGTTTCCATTGGTGTAGAACGAGTTTTTTCCATTTTGTTACAAAAATATCAACTTGAACAAGTTAAATCAAATGAGGTGGAAGTTTACGTTATAGCAGTGGCTGATGGTTTATTAGAAGATCGTATGAAAATATGTGCAGAATTATGGAATGCTGGTATAAAGGTTGGTTGGCTTTTCTTTGAACGATCGTTATTTATTATTATTATTATTTTTATTTATTTATTTTATTTTAATCTTCAGGCTGAATTTATGTATAAAATAAAACCAAAATTACAACCTCAATTTTCGGTGTGTGACCGTGATCAAATTCCATTCGCTGTAATTATCGGAAAAGATGAATTAAATTGCGGTCAAGTTAAAATTAAAGACATGAGATCTAAAGAACAAAGTGGAGGTGCGGGTACTTCTGTAAAGAGAAGCGATATGATTGCGGAATTAAAAACTCGATTAGGAAAATTATAGATTAAAAGAAACCAGGTTCGTAGGTTACATCATTGTATATAGGACTCTGGAAATTTTACATTTATGGCATTTAGAAGTAATAAATTCAGTTCAAGATTTATATAATTTATAATAACAAAAATTTCCTTTTCAAGAGGTATAATTGTCAATAGTACATAATAAATAAATTAAATTTTATTCCTTTGGGATAATGTTCTCTGGTGATTATATCAAAAAATCTTACCCTATATTAAATAACGAAGGATTATCAAATCAAAAAAAAATGTAAACTAACAAAATTAACAATTTTACAATTTTACAATTATCTAATTTTCTTTAATGTATGAGTTGTTCCGACGATACGATTATCCAAGGCAGTGGTTTTGTCGGAAATACGATCCAAAACATTGTTTTGTTTCTTTATTTCTTCCCCAGAAGCGACAGCCTAAACGAATGAAAAATTTTTAAATAAGCTATATCCCCCTTTTTTTTAGAATTTGAAGAAATTCAGTAATTCACATACCATGGCATTTAATCTCGTTAAACCGGATGAAAGTGCATCTAAATTTCTATCCAAATGATCTTCAATTGCATCATCTTCATCGTCAGCTTCAAATTGAAATTTGCTTCTAGAAGATTGTGAAGATTTTCCAGATTGATAACCAGATTGTTGTTGGCCATGCTTCAAAGCTTCATTAATCCTTTGTTGTGATTCCCAATTACCGGCTCTCATATTTTCACGACTAGCTCTTTGCTCAGCTTGCATAGCTTGAACGCGTGCCAATTCAGCAGCTTCGCGTTTCTTTTTGTTGAATGGATTGCTTACGTCGAAACCAAACATGGAACCATTAACCTAAATGTGAGAATCAATTAGAATCGAATTTTAATATCAGAAATTTTTCGTGTTCAAACTAACTTTTTTAAGTTTAGCTGCTTGGTCTGCTGCGCGCTCAGCATGTGCATCGGCAAGATCCAATTGTCGTTCAGTATAATTGATACGTTCTTTAAAATTAAAAAGAATTGTTTTAACGAATTTATTCAACAAATGCATAAAAACATAACATAATTCAGTCATTTACTTACGACTTTGTTCACCAAGCTTGTTTAGAGTACTTTGCGCTGAATTCTCAGCTTGTCCGATCATCTGTAACGATTTCAAAGTCGAATTTAAAGATTCTTGCTTAACGTCCTTAATCTGAGTCTTGATCCCTTCAACATCTTCCTCGTTCTCTTGTTGCTGACCATATGGTGCACCATAACCATAAGGTTGTTGTTGATTGTTATAAGGTGGTGGTGGATATTCTGAAGGTGGTGGTTGTTGGTAACCACCATAAGGAGGTTGTCCACCATATTGATTATTAGTAGAACCTTGAAAAAGTTCATTTCTAGAATTATCGCTTCCTTGTTGACCTTGTTGACGGAAACGGCGGTAATCGTCCATGTTTTGTAATGATTTCAAAAAAAAAAAAAAAGTTTAATTTTGTATTTGTGTGTGAGTATAATGAGCAAGTTATATATTTATAATATCTCTGCGCAGCAAGCACTAGATTTAGCAACCACCAACCAATTGTGGCGTCCTAAATTGGAAATGTCGGAGTTATCAACAACTGACTGAGCATGAGCCACATAAATAAAACTTTTTTGAACATTGATATTTTTTGTTGTCACGCGGGGTGACATGAAATTAATGTTTATTGCACACTACATTTTTTTGCTCTTTATATAGTTAGTAAATTATTTTCGTGGGATGTGAATAATCGTCATTTGTAAAGAATATATATATATATTTTTTTAACAAGTCGGCCGTAGTTCAATATAGGCTGGTTTTTTTTTAGTATAAAGAAACCATCTGAATGACTAAATAATCTTCACTTTTACACTTTCCCACAATAAAAATCTTTCTTACTGTTCTACTTTTTCCCTAATCTCTCCAAAAAAAAAAAAAACAAAAAACTATTCTCTCATACATCGTAAAATGGATAGAATTGACATGAGTTTGGATGACATCATTAAGGACAATAAAAAGAAGTCAAAGCAGACACCAAAGGGAAATAATGCAAATGTTAGTAACGTCAAGACCAATAATGGAAGTAATTTAAATACCAGTAATAAAAGCAGAACAGGACCTATCCGTGCTAGATCAGCGGGTAAAAAGTTGACTCGACAGAAGGCCAGCCCATATCCGGTAAGAATCCAAACAGCTCCCGTAAGAGAAACGCTGGGAAATACTAGTTGATCTCAAATGATCTATAAAATGGTCAAAACAAAACAAAACAAAAAAATTGCTGTTTTTCCAGAAGAATATGGCGAAACTTTTTGTATGGTCTTCGGGTACTTCCCTGCGGGTTTTTGACTCTTTGGGACAATAATAATAATAATAATAATAATAATAATACGACATTCCGATTGCGAGACTGATCAATTCCTGTAACGGCCATTTTGATATCCTGCAACCTTCAACATTTTCAGAAACCCAAAGCTCTAAAGACAGGAAATCCGAACGGTGTTTGGCGTCACGACCTTTTTTCCTCTCTAAACTCTGGTGGACAGACTAAGCGACCCGTTCAAACCAACAATAGTCTTTCTATCCAACAACGTTTGGGTACTGGAAAAACTTCTGTTGGTAATGGGGTTGCAAATCGTTTATCAATCAAAGGAGTTGCTGGTGGTAAACAGACAGAATTCTCCATTAAAGGAGAAGGTGGTCCAGCTTCAATTTATGTTAACAACTTAGCTCCTGGTACAAGTGCTAATGATGTCAAGGTATGTAATGGTTTCGAGAAGCTAATCTTTCTAAAATTATTTTAAGCGAAACCAATTATTTATAAATCTATTTTCTATTACAATTTCTAGACTGCCTTCTTGGAATTTGGCGATATTTCAACAGTAAATATCAAAGATGACAAAGTTACACGTGGGGCTGTTAGTGCCGAATTGACTTTTGCAAGCAAGGCTTCTGCGCTTGCTGCCATAAACAAATATAATACAGCTCTTGTTGATGGTATAATGCTGTTTTATATATTAAATTAATATTTATATCTTTTCAATGTAAGAGAGCTAATAGAGAGATATGTTCTGTGTTTTTCTTTTATTTATAATAATTTATTTTATTAGGTCGAGTCTTAAAGGTTCAATTGAAACAAGCCGGTTCCAACAATAACGTTGGTGCTGCATCATATCGACTCAAAAATAAGCCTAACAAGGCCCAATATTCTTCACCTACACAGTAAGTTTTCAAATCTTTTGATAATCATTAATTAAGTAATTCCTCCAATTAAATTCTTTTTTTATTCCAAACAAAAAAAGAAGTGGAAAACTCTATTCTGATCATTTAGTATCCGGAAATTCAGCCGCTCAAAAAAATCGACGAGTTTCTGGAAAAGGAAAACAACCGTCATTCACCTCTTCGTACTAATCATATTATAACTCGATTTACATTTCTTTGACTTTTATTTTGACGATTTTCTTTCAAAGTGGGAAAGTATAGAAAATCGTTAAAATGGATAAATAATAATAATAATAATAATAAAAAAAAATAATCCATAATTCGCTGGTTTGTGGATGGATATGCCTTAAACTTGGCGGCTTCCCCTATTTTTTTTTTTTTACTTTCTTTTATTTCTATTCATTCCAATTTTTTTTTTTTTTTCCGAAATTATCTTATGTAATTTTTTATATCAATATTAGCTTTTTTTTTTTTTGCTTACAGGTATATTTAGAATAAAGCCGAGTCGCAATGATATATAACATTATCCCTTTTTTTATTCAAAGAGAATTTATCATCCAAATTACAACTTTGATATTTATCTAGAACCAAAAACTCACACTAAAACTTATGGTCAATGACCGTACATAATGCCACCATCCAGGCTTTTTTTTTATGATTTTATTTTTGAGATGTAATTAAAGATTGAAAGCATCAGCAAAAAAGGAAAAAAAATAATATTATTATTATAATAAAGATTAATTTAACTCACTGGAATATACAACAAATCTCCTGGTTCCAGAACGCATTCCAAATAATTAGCAGAAGCAAAAAGTGGGAAACGTTCTAGATCTGGAGTTTCTATATTAACCTTTATTGAATGACAGACAGATGTTGCAGACCAAGAATTACCAAGATAGAAATCATTATAAACAAAACAATACAAAAAAAAAAAAAAGACAAACCTGACTGGTATTTCCTAAAAAACTACCATGTTCAAAAGGATATACTTTAGAAGTTTCAAAAGGCGCATATAATCTAACATATTTCTGTCCAACTACTTGAGCTAGAAGATTATTATATGGATCGGTATGCATAGGAGATATCGTTCCTTGGGGACCAAACCATGCATTTATAATAACATCCGGAGGAAGAGTGTATTGAACGTTATTTGATGATACAAGATAAGGTTTAGTATCAACAAAGCAATAGTCAGGAATTGATATATCTTCTTTAAGGCGTGGTATCTGTGCGAACAAATCATGTTGAGCTAGATAAGCAACTCCCTCATCTTTAATTGTGGTTTTGACCCGATTCTCCACAAATTCTTCAAATTTCATCAATTTCTGTGACCACGAGTCATCCGTATATTTTGCACCAATTTCAACCGGAACGATCCTTCCTTTTCCCGTAATGCTCAAAAGATAATCAAGATCTGTCCAAGGGTTGGTTGAAAGTGCTGGCCAGTGTGAAATACAAGAGGTAAGTATAAAAGGTGTGGGATTTGGTTTGTTAATATGTGAAGCAAATGCAACCAGACTAGGAGATGACATTTTTGATATGGGAAATCTTATAGTTGGCATATTTTCAACTTTATTTTCTAATTTTACGCGTTTTTCAAACTTGTCTACACCCTTTGTATCTATATCAATTTGACGTTTCATCGGAAATTCAGCTAAAGTAATAAAATCTTTTTCATCTTCAATTTCCTTAATGATCTTTTCCACTTCCCCAATTAGATTGAAAATCATTTCTTTCCTATCAATTCCTGGTGCCCCCGTCATAATCAATGCCATGTCTAAAGTTTTAATGATTTGTTTCCATGATTCTATTTCGTTTTCCGTTTTCAATGTTACAAAAATTTCACAAAAGCTTTTTACGAGACTCGCATCAGTATATAAACGTCTCCAACAAAGAGGTACATCCTTGTATGGATACGAGTGTAATTTTTCGGTAGCATAGTCGACAAGGGCTGTTGCTTTCAGTAATACCGATAAAATCTCATCAGAATTTACCTGAAAAACTGTATTTAAACACTCGTGAAGCAAGTAAAGGGAGGATTTATCACAATTAGTAAGATCTAGAAGTGAAATTTGGAAATAAAAGTTAGTCTTTTGACCAATGAATTAATTGTATGTCCGTTTGAAAAATTCTGCGCGCATTTTTTTTTTATTTTTTTTTTTTACCATTATCAGAGTTTTTTAATCTTTCGACAAGTGCTTCACAAGTCTTTCTAATTGTTGCTTCCAACATAATAATTAATTAATAAAGATAAAAAATTAAAAAAAATTTTTTTTGATAATAAATCGGATTAACGAACGCGCCGGACCTTATACCGGTTTTTAAAGTTCCGATATTCCTTCCTAGAAAATTTAAAGATTGAGGGTATAGTGTCTCGATCAGTCCGAAATTTTCAAAATGAAATTTTCACGTGACATATTACGTGAAACTAATTTTATTGGATAAAATTAATTTTAATATCTTTTATATATTAAATCGAAAAAAAAAATTCAATTATCTAATTTTTTCTAAAATACCTGGAATTCTTCTGTGAGATTTGTATTTTTTTACTGCATACTCACTAATTTTCCATCAATACCTTTTCTGTAAAGATCTATGTAATACCAACATTTTCTTGAAAACTTTTTATCAAGACTTTCAGAAACTACTTTTGTAATCCCTTCTATGAATAATCACAATTTTTATGTAAATACCTTTTGGTAGCTTCCTAATATTTCTCAATAAAATTTTAATTCACAGTGAAACTTAGGTATTTATATCCTACATTTTCAATTAACTTCTCAATAGCATCTTTTTAAGCAAGAAATCAAATTCCAAGGATAACACTCGATGTGTATAGCAGAAAGTTTTTAAAGCAACTTGATTCTTTTTTTTACATTTATTTTATTCTAATACTAATCCTTTAAGTGGTTATTTTTCATATTTCATTAATACTTGTTTAATTTCTTTAGGCTTACTTCAAAGTTTCTTATCATGATGTGTTATTAGAAATACCATTAATTGTAGCTGATTATTTGGGATCTTTACATAGAAAGGAAAAAACTGCCAAAAAAATAAAAAAAGAGTGAATGCTAAATTTGAATATATTTTAACCTAAAAATCATATTTGACATATAAAAGTAAATTGATTTTTTCCAGCAGTTTTTCCCTTTCTATTCAAAGATTCTATTTAATCAAAAATAAGTATTTTTTGCTTACTATTTGAATTAAATTTCATTTGGCTTGCAATCAAAGTATTTTTGCTAAATGCAGCATGATTAAAATTATTATCAAAAGCAAATACAATTACACAATCTGAATATAAAACTTTAAAAATAGGAATTGCTTTATATTTAATTTGTTTAAGAAGATGCTTTACCATCCAATAACTCTTATGATTTATACTAAGTTTTAAATATATTATGCTTCTTCAAATACATAAGGATATTTTCTATATCATATACATCAGGATTTTCTGCCTGACACAATTTTTTTACTTGCTCTATATAGTTTATATGAATTTATCATCTTTAGACCTTTTATAATAGGTTCATACTTTGACTATATTTATTAATACTTGTTCGATTTTCTGGAAAGTAGGCTTAGTTTCAAATAATTGAATTTGTATACTTATGATGAAAGTGTATATATTACTATATTGTATAAAAATTTGTTTAATTAAATTATTTTATATATCTAAAAAAAATAAAAGCAGATTTTATTTGTGATTATTTTCATAATTTTGACAAAATTGTGGTAAAACCTATACTTAACTTAAAGGTTGTCAATTATACACAAAGCTAAAAGGTATTAACTTTGCACTGAATCAGAATGTGATAAGTCTACTAGAATACCTTGTGGCTGATATTACTCACATATTAGAGGTTATTATACAATTCAATATATTAATAGATTTCAGGATAATGTTTGATGTTTAATATGTATTTAAGAGATTAGATTTTTAGCGAAAGTTAAACTAATTATATAGTTAGTTAAGAGGTTATACTTTTTTTGCAGTTAGACTTAACATATAGGTAGTCAAGAAGTTAGACTTTTTTTGACCTAAGGTTTGTTTATATAAAGAAAATAGCTCTAGAATAGTTTTCTGTATATTGATAAATTTATAACATATCTTGATAAACTTTTAATTTATAAATTTGATATCTCTTAAGGTTAGATTTTGAGGTTAGACTTATCAATGATATAAGTTTTTTATTCTAAAGTTTGTGAAAAGAAAATGGTTTTAAATTAGTTTCATATATATCAAAAAATATTGATATATTAAAATATAATTATTAAGATTTTAATTTGTAAACTAGATAACAGTTAAGTCAAACCTCTTTGAGATTAGACTTAGCATATGAATACCAAAAGGTGAGACTAAGTAACTTATAAAATCAGATAAGAATCAGCTTTAGAATTAATTTTAAGATATCATAAAAAATGGTATGCATTTTAAGCTTGCTGAGTCAGACTCATCTCAAATTATATCACTTTGTTCCTTAATTTTCGATGATCCCTCTAAGAGGTAAGCTGAATAGTATAAAGTTATTATTCATATCAGATTTGCAAAGTTAAGCATATCTCAAATAAATATCACTTTATTTTTTGATTTTCAATAGGTCTCTAGAAGGCAAATAGAATAGTATAATTTTTTGATATATTATTTGAGATTAAAATTAAGCTAAAATAGCTATATCAAATAGTGTAATTCTTGATATCTAAAGGGCTAATTCTAAGCCAAGTTTAATATCAATATTTTTTGATAGCTAGATTTGAGTCAAATCACATAAGAGGTTTGAATTTAATAATTGATTCATGTATCTAGAATTGATTCGCAGGTAGTCAGGAAACTTATTATGCATTATTCAGAATTCTAATTCTAGAACTCATATTTTGGTTCTATTTTATTGCTAATCTTGAGTTTAATAGGTAAAAAGGTATAAGAATGTCTATTTGCTTTCTCAAGAAACTAAACTTTTAGCTATCTAAAAGTTTCTTTATTATTGTGTAATCTATATACTACACAAGATCTTATATTTTGCTGTGAACTACCTATTGATATCATTTTTTAATAACCAAAATTTTTGATTTTAAAATAATATTTTTGATTTCTGTGAAATAAAAGAAGCAATATGTGAAATTTTAAGCTAGACTATTATGTGTTGTCACATAACTTTATTAAGTGATACTTTTTTTAATTTTACAATAGCATGTATAATATATTTACTGATCATTTGAATTTAATATTATATCATCTTATCGATCAATCATTATGATTTTTAATTATGCTCAAAATGCCAAAATGCCAAAACCATAATAATAAATGATGAAGCTTGAGAAACTATATTAAACACTTATTAAAATTTTACCAAAACTCATCATAGAATTTTGAAGAAATTTAAGCAAGTGTTCTTATTCTTGATAAATATTATTGTGAAATTCAAATTCAGTATATTTCTTGATAGATATTTCTGTGAAACTCAAATTTGATATCTAATTTGATAGTAGAGTAATATAACACAAAATGTTTTAAAGAACATTTTAATAATAAGTTTTAAATAATTATGTATTTATTATGTGCAAATAATATAAATACGCGAGAAAGTTTTTATTTTTTAAAAAAAATCCTTCATATGTATTTCATATTATTTCACGGATATTCTAAGTTTGTATTATGTTATTATTGATCTATCAAGAAGTATTTCACAAAAGTGTCTATCAAAAAATATACTGAATTTGGACTTCTCATTCGGATCATGCAAAAGTATGATTTTGACTTGACACGTTATTTTAATTTGGATCTCTAATCTGACTTGATAACTTAACTTGGATCAATAATTCAGGTTAATCTAATCAGTTAAGAACACTAGGTATAATTAACTTCATGTATATAATCCACATGTATTTCTAAAAGAACAAAAAGCATTTTTCTATGTGCACATTTTTTACTGAGTAAAAAGCACAATATCAGGTGATAAACTTTTGCATAGGTACTTTATTATATAACAATCTGAACACATAACCTAATTAGAAAAACTTACATAAGTAATGAGTGAAAATAATAATCTTTCCTATTCTATTTTTAATCAACAACAATTAGATGCATTAAGTATAAAATTCAGACTGAAGCATTATTTAAACTTTTAACAGCTTGTCTTCAAGTTTCTTAGCCTTCTTGTTTAAGGAAAAAAATAATTACTTTTAAATAATTACAAAAATTCAAAATATGATATTGCGAAGTATTCTTGTTTGCAGTTTTTACATATTCTTTTTTTTTATTTTGGAAATATCATTAGTAAACAAACTTACGGGTGGGGTAATTTCTCGCCTAATTTCTCTTTTTAAACTTTACTTAAAAAAACTGTAGTCAAATTTACGAGCGTTATAGGCCACTAATACACATTCTTCTCAATTTTTTGGAGTTTGGGCAAAACTTCACTAATTTTAGGAGCATTTTTTAATTCTGTCGGGTCAATGCTAGTATATCAAGCCGTCAAAACATCTGGGGCAATCTCTTTTTCGGGACAAATGAGATACTCTTTTCCATCAACAATTTTCCTTGTTGGTAAATAACGTATCCAATTTCAATAATTTAATTGTAGGAGGAAAAAATCCAGTAGTTTCTAAGTCAAAAACACAATATGTTAAATTAGTTCTTTTTCTTGGCATAATTTCTTATTTTGTTCAGAGCGGTGGTTAAAGATATAAGGAGGTAAATTATCTTCCGACATTTCTAACTCACAACCATAGATAATTTTAAACCTTCGCTCTGATACTTACTAAATTCGGAGAAGGATTGAACATTGTAATGGTCGAACCGATATGCCCCATCATAAAAGAACTGAGGCATTAAAAAACAGGAAAAATTAATAAAGAATAATCAATCATCTACAATTTATCCAACAGAGAAATTGGAAACTTTTCCTTTAATAGCAGGAGGGGAGGAGATTACCGCTTTTTTTAGAGGATGATCGAAAAGTTAGCATTCCTACTGATTGATATACTCGCACTCAGCATCAGTATTAGTAAATGACCTTGAAATGACCTTGAAATGACTTCAAATGACCTCACTTTTATTAGAAATTTCAAGTCAAAATGACCAAGGTCATTTGAAAAATAGTAAATGACCTTGTAATTTGCCATCACTGCTCAGCATTACTTCTGATTAATATGGAATAAAGCCGGCGGTTAAAAATTTTTTCGGAAAATAATTATTTGGGTGATTAATGGTTAAGCCATCGTTGAGAGTA